TCAATGTAAACTACTAGGACACCAGTTTTTTTTCTTTTAAATTGATGAAATAGAGACATCAACATCCCCTGCAGGCATCCTGAGGGCATTTCTAAAGCATAGTTGTAATGGGAGACATACGTCCATCAAGTCCTCTCTGTTAATTTATTGTTCTTGTTGGTTTTTCATTTTTTTAAAGGTTGAGTCAGTGATTCATTTGAAGTAGCAATGTTGGGTTTTGGGATGTCAAAGGGTGTTCCTAGCAGGACTTGGTGAGTTTTTAGTTCGTCCAATTAAGGTTGTTACAAATTGTTAAAATGTTTCGCTTTACTGGTCAAGCAGTATAAAGTAAAGAATTATATCTCTTGCAAAGGCAGCATGCATGTAATCATTGTCTATCAGTATCTAGAAAATAATGAGAGAACCAATCAGATTTCCAAATTTGCAGTAAACCTTGTTATTTGTGGGTGAATTGTATCAATAAAAGGCAATTTCACTTGCAACATTACAAGGGCCTATCAAACATGCTGAGCCATAACAGGTGTGAGAGGTTGCAGCCCTTAATGACAGCCCTGGAAACTTTTCAATTTATTTCCTGGTGTTGCTGTTATGAAACTAATGCAGATTATTTCTGTTTTTCTTTTTAGCATCAGTTTTCAGTATTAAAGGCTTCCTGTGATGTCAAGGCTATCAAAGGTAACTTAAATGTAATGTTCAATCTTACTTTTACTGTGTTTGCGAATTCTGAATGTTACTCTACTCCGAATTTTATGCAGACGTGAGATCATCAAGCTGTCATAATGCATCTTGAATACACGTTAATGTCTGTATTGTAGTGAACAACATCTCAGGAGAGATTTAAAACTATTTAAATGGTGAAGAAAAGAAAACAAACACTGTAGACCATACATTTATCTTGCACAGTTTACACGAAGTGATGTTCTCTGAATTGGTCTTGAAATCAATACTGAATTATCTCTTCCGTAATGTTTGAATTTTTTAAATTATACAGTGGACTTTTTTATGTCTTTTTCCTCTTTGACCTGGATGCTATGTAAAATCAAACACGCAGACTGATTGCCTGGAATGAAAACCAGTAATTGGGGTTGGTTCACCACTATATCTCCCACGCTATAACAGACACAGCTTTACTTTCATGCTGCCTGGAGACCTGAAGGAAACTATGAATTGCAAGGGAAAATATCTGCCTACAAAAGTCCAAAACATACAAATTCAGGTTTAAAACTTACTGTTGCCACTGCACCTTATTACAATTTTCTCCCCTTTTGTTTTTAGGAGTATCCCTTTTGCAATGAAGCCTCTTCATCACAGGAAGGCCTAGAAAAAGAAGCTCTTACTGCAGCCTCCAACAGAACGTTGAAAGTTGCAGTACAGCTTGAAAGTAAGTCACCACCTCCCATCTTGTTTCTTACCAGACACGTCTCATTTGCTTTGAGACACATCCTGTTTCTCTTGATACATGTCTCATTTCTCTTGAGAATCACTGAAGTAATTTAGTGTGGAATATATTACTCGCAAGAAGCCAGTGTGCTTATCAAAGGCAATTAGACATCAACAAAACAACAAAAAGTTTGATTGAATGTGGTTCCTGTATGAATCGATCGCTTGCTCTATTCATTTCAAACCAACAATACCAATGTAGATGTTAACAGAGCAATAACATATGAGTGATGTTGGGAGAACTACAAAAGGTTCTTGTATAAACCCCCACTATGTGCAAACTTTTAACTTTATTATGGTTCAATACCAATTTTTAGTATTGTAGAATTAAAATCATTGAAAGTAGGTTATAACAAGATTTTGTAAATGTGTAACAAGATGTAGTAATTATGTACCCTAAAATACTACCAAGTGTTGTAAAATGATTATATTTGTTGTCATTTTTTGGTAGGTTCATCAGAAAGCAGGCCAATTTCAAAGGAAAAGGACAAAAGGCCATTACCCCTTTTTAATAACCAGCCTTCAAAACGACCTAGGGGAGAATTGATTGATCATGGAGGTAAATTAATATGTCTAGATCCAGTACTCTTGGATAATTCATTTCAGCTGTAGTGGAGTAAATAGCTAACACCCTCACTACAGAAAAAAAAAATTCCTGAAATATTGTAGGATTTGAACAGTTATTGGGAATGAGTTTGTATGTGAATAACAGTCATTTGTCTCAGCTCACTATTGACACAAAAACATATGCTATAGTCTTGACACATAAGATGCATGACTGTTGTGTGGATTCAGTTTTCTAATGAGAATCATGATGGTTCAATACCCAAAACTTTACAGTCAACCATTTACCTCAAGGCCTAATATTTTGCGAAAAGCTCTGATTACTCTGTTGGTGCAGCAGGATCCACTGGTTTTTGACATTCAGATAAATTCCTTGTCAAAATTGTGTCACTTCACTACTCTGAGAAAGAGTTATTTTATATGTTTACGGTGTCACCCTTGTCATACGTACATGTACGTAGTTGAGGTAGACGATTTGCTTGTTTGTCGGTGCGGATGAGAATCAACTTCTTCGGCTATATTTGTTTATGTTTTGATGGATATAAATACTTTGTAGAACATGTAAACAGCAGCTCACGCAGATCAAAGAATTCAAAATTTCCTCAAACCCGTATCTGTTCATTACTGGTACTTTTTCTTTGGCTGTTCGAATGGTTGCCATCATCCATTCGAAACATTTCTAAGGCTGTTCGAACAGTCTGAATTAATAGGTGTACCTTTCATAATTTGGGTCCGTCAAAATTTGAATTACCCATCTCATGAAAAGTTCATTGTTTGAAATGAGCTTTAGGGTTTTAATTGTCGAGAGTTAAGAATTTGTTGCTTTAATACTTCTTACGGTAAGTGCTGGCACTGAAAAATATAAAAATAATTTGACCATTCCTTATGCCTTGGCGAGTACCGTCCTGATAAGGATCTTCATGTGCTAAGATGTTAGCGCAAAGAAGTTCTTGCGGTTCGAAAATTCTACCGCAAAAAATTTCTTGCGTTTCGAAAATCCTACCGAAAAAAATTTACTTTTGAGCGGTACTGTAGTTTTTTTGAAGCTTGGATTCTCACAGTTTGGGCCTTATTGATAAGTGACTCATAAAGCAGAAGGGTTCATCTTTCCTGTACTTACTATACAGTGAGTGTACTCCTGTATGTGATAAAGTACTCTTCAGAACTCGCCCTATAATGCATTGCGTGCATTGCAATATGCTGTTAGCACTTCATGTATGTACATGTACTCTAAAGCCAACTTTGGTCGTACTCAACATAATATATAACCAGGAGGTAACCAGGAGAAATTTATGCAGTCATGCAGTAGATAAAGTCATCTAATTAATCATAAATGATAAATAAATCAAATTTAAATGCAGTTTTGAACACTTCGTATTGAAAATCATTATGATAATTTATGCTAATTAATGTTTGATTAAATTGTTAAGATGTCCGACCAAAATGGAGATTTGAAAGGACACATGTCCTGTTAAAGAAATGTTGGCGGCCAAAAACTTACTGAGATTCTCACCACAGGCATTTGGACATGTGTAATTCTGACTCTGTTTTTTTTTTCATTGTTAGATGGTTAATTTGAATATCAACATAATGCAAACAGTAGTTGAAAAAAAAAACGACGAAATCTTCAGGGTTCATGCAAAATGTGACCCTCCACAGGAAAACAGGTAAAAAGGTGATGACACGGGCACGATATTTTAACACACTAGACAAAAGAAAATTCCTTTAACACCCTAGCAGCGTGTCACAATGCACAGCTCATTAAAATTTTTTTTTGTTTCGTATTGCACGGTTAAAACAAACGAGCGTGTTCATTTTAACAAAGAAACGTGCCAAAATTACAGAAACAAAGCAGCAAGTTAAAAATTACATGCTAAGCGAGTGAAATGATACCCTTGCAAGTGAGTGCAATGGCACGTGGTATCGAAATGCACAGTCCATTACAGTGTTCGAATATTTAGCTTACCAACTGTTCCATGAAATGTCCACCTTCACAAACTTTTTGTTTATTATCAAGTCAATCATTAAAATCTATTCTGCACGTATGATGTTTTGTTCGTCAGCACTTTTAAGAATCATCGGTTACGTAGATTTTACTACCAAAATTAGTTTTCCTTGAGCAAAACAATTTTCATCCTTCCCTGCATTGTATCCGTGTGAATATCCAAACAATTGACATGGCAAGACAAACTGGAGGCACTTGAGCGTAACGCAACTTTTGCCTTATTACCAAAATTGAAACTGCTCCTGGGCAACATCAACATCATGCGTAATGTTCGAAGCAAACAACGTGTCTATTGTTTATGAGAATGAAATTTGCCATGCCTAAAAGTACTTCCGCGATACAGGTAAGGTAGCCTTTTCCAGGTGTTCAGGTAAGGCCATGACTCCGCGATTCATACACTTATCTCGGCAAATCCCTCAAAATTGCTGTTTGTAGTGCTACTCTTTCGCTTCAGTAGTAGCAAAAAAAAAAAAA